AGAGTATTCTGCTGATTGGTTGAAACAAACCCCCGGTCTGGATTTGTACTTTTTGCACCTGAACTTTCCACCCCTGCCATCTGGACTGCATAGCTGCGCATATTGCCATGACTCCAGCCGGCTGACCAGCACAGGGCAGAGGACCAGATCTTCTGCTGATCCCCAAACCAGCTTAACCAGTTCTGACAGCAAACCTGCAACTCATGGACTCATTACCGAGGTCAGTTTATGACCAGTGTTCTTCCAGCACTTTGATTAATAATTGAACCAACCCATGCACTTATCTATGATCTCTAGCCCTGTCTTTAATTGGCACTTTCCTTGATTGCTTGTATTGCTTTTCCCCAGTTAGCTCCTCTTGTCTGCATCAATAAACGTGACCTATTTCTCTATCCCTACCAGTCCGTCTCGGCTTCGGATTTGCCACCCTAATCTCAGCTCTGACACATATAGCGTCGTGGCAAAAAACGCCGCACTGCTGCCACAGAAGGCTTATCTGGTAATCGGCAGTGGCTGCAGTCCGTGAGCAGCTTCTCGCTGCTGCTCCTTCACAGTGTGTCATAAACCATCGTTTGGGAAATGGGTGCGGATCAGCCCCCACTGCATGTAATGAGTGTGAGCCAGTCATCGTCAGCTCCTTACAGAGCCAGAATCAAAACCCATAAACAACTCTCTGCATCTCTTCATTTTGTATTATGTGCTTTACTTATTTGTTACATTTATTAGTGATACTGCATCTGAGACCTGCTCAGGGATATGACAGGTTGATGGTGATGAGTTACTGGTCTGTATTGTTAAAAATCATGCAATGTCAGAATCCAGACTTGGTCTGAGTTGAATTGTCACTCATAACATTGATGTTTTTGGAATGTCTTGTATTCATCTTGGAAGTTTATTGAATTATTTTCATATCACTTGAGAAAACGAGAAGTAATTAAGTATAAAACTTGAACATTTATTGGATGACAGGAGCGAAAGGAAGGTCTTAATCCAGGATACAGGTTTTGTTATCCAACAACAAGAATTACAGTAAACTCCTATTTGCTCCTGTTCACAGGACCACAGAGTCATTTTGCTATTTTAACAGCTACAACTATCCAGTAGATTATAATGATAACAAGGAATATTAATCCAGTAACGATGCCAGAAATGTTCAGGATTTTGGCCGTGTGCGATGCCTGTTCAGCCCGCGTTGAGTCTCCTGCTGCATTTGCATCCCGAGCCTACAAACAGGTACATCATTTTAGCAGTATAATTTTTAATTGTTGTCCAGCATTCTGCATATTCAATAAAGGCTCTAGAGGTTGCTGAGTAAACCAAGAAAGGTTAATTTTTCATGAATTTTAACATACCTTTTTGTTATCGGTGGAGGTGCAAATATATTATTGTAAGTAGGATGTGTCAGTGCCGTACTTTTCATAAAAGTCAAACCTGACCCAAATGCCCTATGAGTCCCCAAATATTAAAGCTAAAGATAACCAGATGGCAAATCAATTCATTGTAATTGTAATCCTTCATTTTCCCTTTAAGTTTTTTTTGTTTTTATAAAAATGTCTTCTTGTGTTGTAAGCCAAACAGAATAAAAAATATTTTTTTAATGATGTTGAATATATATTAAAACACCAAAATGTAAGGTAGGCTATATATACATGTGAGAAAGCAGACTGTACAATTTAACATAATTTTAACCCCAGACAAAAAATATCTGTGATTATCAGTTTGATTTGATTACCAGTGCTGTCCTTGCAGCATATTTCTACATATGACATGTGCCCATTTAGTACTATTTATTAACCGTAGGGTGTTGAATACAAATTCATTTTGAAAACTACAGACCAAAAAATACCGTGAAACATGATAACTAATACTCTTTTTCAAAATGTCTCTACATTTATACTCTGCACATATTTTGTGAAGGAGGACATAAGATTTCCAATGGACACCATTTTTTCACTAATGTGACACCCATTTATTATTATTTATTAAGTTTAGTCTGTTTTATGAACTTACCCGTAAGGAGTAGATTATTGCAATGACTCCAAGTGGCAGGCAGCAGCAGAGCGTGTTGAAAATAGAGATGCCCAAGTAATCTTTGGTGGGGGCTGTGGATCCATTCATGGTGGCTGAAACTTCTGCAGCTCGCGCTGATCACACCAAGTCAAGTCTTCCGCTGTTCTCTGGCTTCACCTGGAGCAGCACTGAATGCTTCACTATGTGAATGAACTATAGGAGGATGTAGATGAAGAGGGCGTGCATGGTGTGACGAAACAGCTCAAGTTTTTTTTTTGTGCAAGAAATGTACCTTTTTTCACAGTTATGTTGTTCTCCAGGGGTAGGGCAAAATATCATCTGCTTACATTTATATTCACATTTATGCGTTATGCAGGCCAAATTACTTTAAGTATTGATTTGTCCAGTTTCATGAACTGAGGCAAATAAATTTTATTTATTTTTTTAAATAGAAACGTTAACGTTAAGATTGACGTTAGATAGATTCTTTTATTTTATTTTCTCCACTAACAGGAAAATTGTGAGATCTTAAGAAATTGAAGAATGTTAAGGAATACGGTTTATTATATATTATACACACACACACACACACACACAGTTGCAATCAGAAATATTTAAATGACAAAAAACTCAAATAACAAGAAACATTTATTGATACATATCTGAGTTAATTTGAGAACAGAAGTTGACTTAACTTTGAAGATCAAATAAAAAATGTAACTATTATAATACATGTGCATGTGCAGTATTATTCAACCCCCAGCTTCAGTACTTTGTGGAGAATCCTTTAGCTTTTATAACTTCTAACAAACATTCTCTGTAAGTGCTGACAAGCTTCTTACACCTTTCCATCAGAATCTTTGCCCATTCTTCACGTGCAAAGGCCTCTAGCTCAGTGATGTTTGATGGCCTCCGTGCTGCAACTGCCTTCTTTAAATCCCACCAAAGATTTTCAATCGGATTTACATCTGGTGACTGAGAAGGCCACTCCAGGATGTTCCTGGATCTTTTTCTCAACCAAGCTTTGGTTGATTTGGAGGTGTGCTTGGGATCATTGTCTTGCTGAAAAGTCCAATGATCACCAAGGTGCAATATGTCAACAGGAGGCATCAAATTTCTCCTTAAAATGGCCTGGTATTTCTGGGAATCCATGATGCCAGGTACACGATCAAGATTCCCAGTTCCTGCCACAGAAAAACAACCCCAAATCATCAACGACCCACCTCCATGCTTGACTGTGGGGATGGTATTCTTCTGGTCAAAAGCCTGGCCTTTCACACGCCAGACATACTGCTGGTCCATATGTCCAAACAGTTCCAGGTTGGTTTCATCAGTCCATAGAACTCTGGAGTCTTATCCACATTTCTCCTGGCATATTCAAGTCGACTTTTGACGTTCCTTGTAGTCAACAGTGGAGTCTTGGAGTCCAGCCATAAAGTCCTTGTTTATTCAGTGCACGTCTTATAGTTGCCACTGAAGCACTTGTAGCAGCCTTCATCAGGTCATCCTGTAGGTGTCTTGCAGTCACACGGGGGTTTCTCTTAGTTGTCCTGACAACGTTGCTAAGGGCCCTTGATGAAATTTTGGGCTTTCTTCCACGGCCAGGTAGGTTTGCAGCTGTCCCATGCATTTTAAGCTTCTTTATGATTGTCCCAATGGTGTCTCTTGGAATGTTAAAGGTTTTGGAAATCTTCTTATACCCAAGGCCCTTCAGGTGTGATGAAATAACCACCTCTCTCAGCTTTTGTGGAAGATCCATTGTCTTTCCCATGATTGCAGCTCACCTTGAATACCTTCATGGGTGGGGTTTATATATGCATCACAGCTGAAGCAAATGAAGGATCTTTATAGAGTTCCCAAAGGCTTAATTATGGTTCAACTCCACTTTGAGCCATAAAAACCTGCAGAAAGCTGTATAAAACAACAATATTGTATGGGGTTGAATAATTGTGACCTGGCTATGTTAACAAAATATACTGTTACACACAAATGCTACATCATTCATTTTCTGTGTTGATTTTATGTTAAAATCTTTGGACGGTTGAATATTTCTGATTGCAACTGTGTGTGTGTGTGTGTGTGTGTGTGTATACACATACATATGACAGAATTCTATAGAATTCATAAATTATTAATATTTTGTATACAACAATGTATTGCCTGTTTAGTCAATATTTTAGGACTGGGTGGACTTAGAGGTTTTAGATAGATGGTGTCAAAAAGTGTTGTATTATCTCTAGTAATGTTTGGTGTTGCATAAAGTTGGAAAAAAAGAAAATTCAACAGGAGAAAAAAGCTTAATCTCTTTGCTGTCTTAGCACCCATCAGAACCCATCTATCCATCTTCTGAGTGCTTATGCAGTGCAGTGTCACAGTGATCCTGAGCCATATTGCAGGTAGCACACAGCATGTTAGCATGGATGTCGTGCAGCACAGGGCACACACACTATGGCCAATCTATCCATGCCATTTCCTAACTTCATCTTCTCGACTGCTGGGGCAAATCGGAGTAGCTAAGGAAGCTCATGCAACATGGGATGATGTGCAAACTGTGGACCCACAGAAGGGGGTTGCGATGCAATTTGATTCCAGTCCCCAGCGTTGGAGGTGTGAGGCAACAGTACTGCCCACAAAGTTACTATGGCAAAGATAAATATGCTTATAAATTAGTGCATTTGTCAGTTAGCAATCTTACGACATTCAGCAAAGATTCAGGTTAATCATTAGCCAATGGAGACTGAAACATTCCTGGAATGTTTCATAGTAGAGTTTTTGAGCAAGACTGTAACACAATTACTGTTATACACTGAGTACAATGATACATCCAGGACCTTAAGTCTTGAAATTGTCACTTGTGGATTGCTGTGGTCATTCATGCAGTTCTGGTTAGTACAAGGCAGTATATTTGGCATATCTTTTTATCTTGCCTATTCACTAAGTGAGTAATTTATTTTCTGGTTAGGATTATGTTGAAAACTGTCTATTCAAATCAGTTGTGTTTTAAATTTCCTGATTGTGACAGATTAGGTTTGTTCGGGGAGGTTTGTTTGCTGAGAAAGTGACAAATGTTATTCAATGAAACAATTGGATCTGTAAAAAAAAATGCCATCCTCCACCTGTAGCTGATGCCATAGGGCATGTCATCCATGTTAACAGAGTTTTTACAGTAGGCCTATATAAACAAACTTTCAGTAAATGCAGTACATGAATTTCAGTCATTTTTGTTATCAAGCAAGATGTTACTCCAACTTTTCATGTGCTTCAGTAAGAATAGTCCATCCATCCATCCATCCATCCATATATTTCCTATATCCACTTGTCCTATGCAGGGTCAGACTGGTTCAGAGCCTATCCAAGAAACTATGGATGCTTCCTGATGACACAGGCAGAAGGGGCACACACTCCAGGGCAGAGACTTGGTGAGGCAACCTTGCAAAACACTGTGCCTCTGTGCCACTCCTTAATGAGAAAAATAATAATTTTACGTATCACTCCTCTTAACTCCTGAAATAATTAATGTCTATTTTTCTGGGAAAAGAGTTCAGACCACCTAATAAACTCACCCAGTGCATTTTAATGAAAACCACCGAAATAACTCGCTTCTATTGTGACAACTTGGATAGAAACATATGCACAGGATCTATTATTGTATTTAATCCAATATCTGCCATTGAGCTAGAGAAATCACAAATGTGTGCAAAAACCAAAGATGTTAGTATCTACCTAGACTATCCAGATTTTAATGCAGTTCATGGAGCCACCATCCATAAGCACTCAATGATGTAATTTAATTGAGCAAAGATTTATATGTATTGTGTTTGATTGATCTCCTCCTGTGACTTTTCAAAATGCCCATTGCCCATTGTGATTTCATTTAATTACCTTTGCTACATACGTCCGAGGCTGGACAAATATCCCTGCATGTTGTAACTTCCTTATGTTACAATGCAGCATTGCAACATGCATATACAACACAGTGTATTTTTGTGTAATCTCATTGCTACCATTTGCAGTGCAGTAAAGCATTGTTAATTGTTAATGAGTCAAAAGCAACTTTAGCGAACAATCCAACAATCTAAGGCATTCTGTAACTCAAGACAACATGTCAAAAGGCATTCTATTCTCTAGAACAGGGGTGTCAAACTGCAGTCCTGAGGGGCCGGAGCCCTGTGTAGCTTAATTCTTTCCCTGTTCTACCACAAATAATTCAGCTCAACAGCTATGTGGTAATTAGCACAACAAGTTGAATCAGGTGTGTTAAACGAGGGGAAACCCAAAAATGTGCAGGGCTCCGGCCCTCCAGGACTGGAGTCTGACACCTGTGCTCTAGAACAAGGATGTTATGAAGGCATCTGTATATCTTGCTCTTATAAGAATATGTTTCCCTGCCATTCAACTGACATATCTAAAACATTTCTGTATTTCTAGAGGCAATGCACTCACCAATTTCACCTTCCCCACCCCCAGAGAAAAAATTAAATGG